AATTTAAATTTAGTATATTTTATTTTTTTAGTTAAATATTAAGCTCCGGACACACAATGCTATGCATTTACCTAGTACTACAATTAAAGTTAGCTACAATTGTGATCAAAAACAATTGTAAAACAATTAAATTGAGAATAATTACAATTAATTACACTTAATTGTTTTGGTGTGATGAATAGTGGTACGTGACAAATACGGATTACTAATTAATTGTATTAATGAGTCCTTATTTGTCACGCAAATGATTCATCACACCTAAAATTGCAATTAATTGACTAATATTCTTTACGTTTGAAATGTTACATTCCTAAAAAGCACTTTAAACTGTATAAATACAATTGTAAGTGGTTTACCAATCAGAAGAAAGCTATCCTGTATTCTCCGGACGAAATTCGTTTGACAGGGTAACTTATTTATATGCTTAGAGTACTTTTTTAGAACTCGAAGTGCTACATACTAAAAAACGAAAAATTTGTTTCTCTCGAGTGTCAGAAGACTGCCTTTAAAAATAATCTCTAATAATAACTAATTTAAGTCCTGGCACTTTCCGGTTTTTCCGATTTTTAATTAATATCAGGGTTAGGATTAGATATATAGTAAAATCGCATTTCCGACACTTTTACTTAGTGCATCAAGGCCGGACACACATCGGGCAATTTCGTAAGGTGCCAGCTTTAGACTAAGTAGTGTTAGTTTAGTAGCGAGACTTGTTGGGCAAAGAAAAAAACTTGGTAATTTTAAAGTACTTTTTCAAAACAGATCGTTTCGTTTAAGAACTTTATTATGATATATTTAAAATAAACTTTAATTTGAATAGGTACAAGTTCTTTAGCAGTAAAAAGATGTAGGCTTAAATGTTTAAATTTGGACACCTCTTTTAGTACAGTTTGGGATTATTAAACGTAAGATTTAATTAACTCGGGTTTATTAATAATAAATATTAAATTTGTCTTACTTTACGTATACCTATCTATTATCTAAATATGTGTGATTAATTCTAAATTTATGGTAATTTGGTTGGTTAATCATCACGGGAAATCACGGGTCGATCGACCAATCCGACGAATTTCGTCATATGTTCTCCGGATATATAATACGCAAACCGATCTACGGCACCACGAAGTCCCGGGGTCACAATTAACCCGTGACACTGACACAAGTGAACTCTAACTCCATACATCTTCTTGATATCTTCCACGGCTTCTTAAATCTTTGACATACGCTATCGCACTGTTTTCATCCATACCACCACATGTTTGTGCTATCTGGATAAGCACATTATTGACATCACGTGCCATATTTTTAGCATCACTATAAGGTTGGGAGGAATTATTTAGCAAATATAAAAATAAAAAATTCAACTAAAAAAAAAAAGGAAAAAAAAGGAGAAATTGAAAATGAAACTTACCCGCAAACATAAAAATAGCCACCTCTAGTGTAAATCAATTCCCAAATATACTGTTGATTTTCAACAAGAAGATGTTGTACATACACCTTTTTATCCTACAAAATTGAAATTGGACAATTTAATGGACTTTTATCATTGACCCTAAAAAAATAAAAATAAAAATACAAAAATAACATACCTGTTCCCTTGAGAATGCCGTGATCAACTTCCCAGTTTCACCAAGGGCAGAGAATAACTCATCAAATTCTTTAGCATATAAAAAGTCTTCGTCACGTTTTCGACACCCAAAGAACAAAACTGTATCACCAATTACATCACCTTCGGACTTGTACTTGGCTCTTTCGATGACAAATCCTCGGAAAGGAGCCACACCAGTACCAGGACCTACCATTACAACTGGAATTTTGAGATTTTTGGGTAATTTAAAGTTCGTATTTCGAACATGTATAGCAAATTTAATCGTGTTGGTAGTATCATCATAATATTTGTCTCTAGGGCCAGAATATAGGTAGTATGGAGACGTATCTGGATGTTCAATATTATTGAGTTTATGATGAACTTGATGGATGTAATTTGTTGCTAGACCGTAAACAGTCTTCTTAGGAGCGGTTTGAGGTTGATATCGTAAAACTGTCGCTGTGATGTGAATAGATGTTGGAGTGACTTTAGAAGTGCTTGAAATTGAATAATATCTGCATTGCAGTCTTGGTAAGGTTTCTATTATCAGATCCAATGGTATGCTATCCAATGGTTTGCCATTCGAGCATATCAATTCTAGTACTTCACCAAGAGTTAAGTGAGACTCAGCGACTTCAATTCGGTAAGCCTCTTTATCTTGCCCTAAAGTAGTGAGTCGAGATTTGCCTTCTTCGGTAGGCGCATAATTTGCCAGAGTGGCAATAAATTGACGAGATGCCGGAGAATTAATGTCAAGATAATTACGAAAGATCGTGGCATATGTAGTAGGGACTGGGAATGGATGCTTTTTAGATGCAGATGCTATACAATAGAGCATGATTCATACAATAGATATTCAGACAATTGGTTGTTAATAATATAATACTTAAAATAATAATAATAACAATAATTATAAATAATTTTTTTAAATATATTAAATATATTAAATATGTTTAATGCTTACGATCTGTGCTTTCAATTGTGACGACAGTGTCTTTTTTCTCCCAAAGTCCCAATACTTTAAGCAAACGATAAACATCTTGTTCTGGATTCATAGGCCAGACTGCAACATGATCACCCGATTGATAATAAAGACCTGAACCAGTAATATCTAATTCCATATGCACACAATTACGTTCTGTTGAATTGAATAATTCTCGAGAGGCAGTGATTGCCGATGGAAAAGGATTCTTAGCATCATAGGTAGCACGGCTGAATAATAAATTCACACATTAATATGAAATAAAAATCCAATCAATGTTAATAAAATGATTTCGTTAAAATCAACGTTAATCAATGAGTTCGTTAAAATCAATGTTAATCGTTAAATATACGATTAGACTTACGTTCCACCATTCAGGGCATGTTCGCTAAGTTCACCATAGAATACAGAATCATTATCGTAATTTTCCAACTCGGTAATCTTGTAAGCGGAAATACGAGTTCTATAAAAATTCATGATAATTATAATATATCAGTTACATGTTAGTAACACAAAAAATGCAGTAATCAAATAAATTAAGCATACCCATGATTTTGAGCCTCGTTAGGATCAATATTCATGGTGTCACATACAGCTTTCCACATATCTTCTTTCCAGCCAAGGAAATCTTCTTCTAAACTACCATCGTCATCACCTTCACCACGTTCACCAATTCTTGTAGCACCAAACTCTGATAATTTGGCATCAACAAGTCTTCCAACAGCATTAAAGTGCTCATATGTTTTATTTCCCAAAGCAAAAACGACGTATCGAAGACTTGATAATGGTTTATCTTCGATTGAAATTCCTTGAGAAAATTCAGGATTATCCGAATTTAGCAATTCCCAGAATTCGATAGCATCATCGGTAGGTTCACCTTCACCTTAATTATATAAAATTCACATATAAAAATATTTAATAAAAGGATTCGGAAATATCAAAACATAAACAAGAAAACAATTACCATAAGTCGCCATCAAAAAGAATGCTAAGCAATCTTCAGGAAATTCGTCAAGAAGAGTCATGTCACAATCTTCAACGTCGATAGTCATGGTTTTTAAACCAAATCGTTGTAAACCTTCTTTTGCGAGACGAGATGCATAATCTTCAGCGGTACCAGTTTGTGACCCGTAAAAAAGAACAACATTTTTATCCTATATCATCACACAATCAGATTAGAATTTAATAATTCACGATCATTAACCGATCAAATCAATCATTGTAATTTAAATAATAATGACATACCGTATTTCGCATCTTTTTAATAAAATTTTTGTCCTTTTTTAGAGGAGGTTTAGATACTGGGACTGGTGGAGGTAAGGCAGGAGATTTTTTAGCTCCAAAAATAGTATCACGGAAAAGATACAAGACGGCAATGAGACCAGCAGAAATAAGAAAAACAAGATCGAAGGTATCGATGATCGGCTCATCTTGTGGATCTATAAGTACTGGCTCCGATGGGTCAGACATTTTAAATGACAATCTTAATGTATGTGAGGTGGTATTTGTACAGTAAATCCTTCAACAAAGTCTTATAACCAATTCTTATATTTACACAATACGATTAGGGAAAACGAAGTGTCGTAGAACAAGTTTTTTTTCTTTTTTTTTTTTTTATCGATCACTTTAATTGAAACAGAAAAATTTGGAAGGTAAACACGATCTTTTAGGAAATGATCCGATAGATAAAAAGGTTGGACAAATCTATTCTTTTCGTTAGAAACAATCGAAAAAAGGCACATTCTTTTATATTAAAGTTTCGAAGAAAACCAGTTAAATATCCGAATTGATTTTCTAAAAAAAAAAACTATTTTTGGATTATGGAATTATAATAAAACCGCGCTTTTATATAATGCCATATATTTACAAGATGCAGAGTTGGTGTTTTCACATGACAGGAATTGGCTTCATATCTCATGACTACTATTTATAGTTATTAATAAAGAAAATTATCGGCTAGACGGCCGGTTTTTTTTTCAAAATCGGCTAGTTAAAATTTCTGATATTGAAAATGAACATACATACGTATACAATAAATCAAATTACAACTATTTTCTATTTTCATAACGATATAAATTCTGGATAAAATTAACTGAAATGAATTATAGGGAATTAAGCCATTTCTTTATAGAACCCATATCATTTCCCGGAACATATTCCGTATATAAAATACAGAATTTGCGGAGAATTCCATATGTAATACGGAACTATACTAAATATATATTCCATATAATTCATTTAAAATTCTGTAAAACTTTTTTCATAAGCTGATGATTTATTCATAATCGAAAAATGAAATAATGGTCAGCCAGGATTACTACACTATTGCTACAGCCCTATAAAAAAAGTCGATCCGTGTTTTATATTCCGTTTGTCCATAAATGTTGAATTTATAACCTTAAATCATGGAGATTATTCTATTCGGCTTGTTGCAGATTCACGGAGTGTTCGAAAAAATTTTGTACAGGGCAGTCGACTCTTTCTATAACGAACTGACAATTCTGGAAGGAAAAAAAAGTTCGCTATAGAAAACTATGTTTTCTTAAGTACACATGGCACTTTTTATGCCAAACATTGTGGTTATCAGTGTACGTATGTACGTACACGTGGATTTTTACGTTTGTACGTACATACACATGGATTTCTTGTTTAACTATTAGCATTAACATTAGTGTTAGACCATTTAAAGTTAATTTGTTCTGATACGTAATTCTGGTTAGTTTTCGAAAAGCTTAGTGTTTACTATATAAATACGTATTTCCAGATTTCTTTTATTTTGTTAACGTTAACTTACCCAAAAATTTGTTTCTAACTATATATACACAATAACTAGTATCTATCTATAGTCAATTAGACCACAACAGGCGGTCCCTCCGAAGTAGTGTTACAATCGAAAGTTAAAAAAATCGATTAGTTGGTTAGTTGACAACTAATCGATTGAACTTTTTAGATACCAACTAATCGATTAATCGACTAATCGATTAGTTGCAACTTAATCGACTAAAGAATTAATCGATTGTTGCAAATGAATCAATTGAAAAATTATTTATTTACTTATTGCGGTTTGCAAAATTATGTGAAATTTGAAGATCATTAAAAAAAAAAGTAATCACTAATTTCCGATTACTGATTTCCGATTTCTTCATCTTTTTTGACTTTTAGACTAGACAAAATTTGTGCATTTATCATTTGTACAAATTTGATTGAATATTAATGCGCAACTCCTATTTCTGCAAAAATGATGAATATGCAACTTTTATTTCTATAAAAATAATAAAATTTTTACAAAATAATAAATGCGCAAAATTTACCTAATCTAAAAGTCATGAAGAAATCGGAAATCAGTAATCAGAAATCAGTGATTACTTTTTTTTTTAATAATCTTAAAATTTCACATAATTTTGCAAACCGCGATAATGAATTAGTTGCAACTAATCGATTAATCGATTAATCGATTAGTTGCAACAACTGGAAAAATAATTAACCAACTAATTGATTGGCTGTTCTTGCAGATTGGCCTACATTATGTAACACAATATAATTTTGACCAGAACTATATGCTGCAGCAATGATGATCATCAACCCGAACTTCAGGGGCCGCCCTGGTGTCATTAGGGTGTTCATCGAACTAATACAGTCGGGGAATATACCAAATTTGGGGGACGTCTAAAGCGGAGCAGATTCTTATAATATATATTTTATTGAATTAACTTTAGGGTTAGGGCCATCTTATATTGGGGTTAGGCTAGGTTTTAGGTAGTTAGATATAAGCAAAATTGCCTTCCCGACATTTTTAATTAACCTACCTGAG